TTTAGAAAAAACTGAGTTTCACAAGCAACATGAAATTTTGTGATCTATTTCTATCGCACTTTGGATGGGCGCTTGGCTATTTCTTTTCTTTGGGTGTTTCTTCCAAGGAGTTTGATTTTTACGCACTGTCCATACACTAAGTTGTGAAGACGAACTTCGTACTGTAGGATGGTCTCTGTCTCATCACCTCAATTCAGTGTTATACGGAACAATCGAGTTTCACTATGACACACAGAATTCCAGTAACCTTACGCGTTTTAACATGATGAGTCCAGTCTGATTACCGAACACTGCATAGATAGGATTCCACTGCAGATATGATGTAGAACTAGCGAAATCCATTTGACCGTCACTTGAACAACTGTTCGGAGACTGACTGGCCTAATTTGAACGGTCTAAAGCAGCACGAAGTGAATGTGAGTCTGGTGGACATGCCGCCACTGGATGAGGCGCGGACAGCCCTTGCTCAGCTGCGAAACGGCAAGTGTGCTAGTGCCGATGGGGATCCCGCCTGAAGTATTGAAACACGGCGGACCCGCATTGGTGACTGCGCTGCACCACTTGGTGAAACTCTTGTGAATTGAAGAGGAGGTACCTCATGAGTTGAAGAATGTCCTTGTGCTGCCACTGTAAAAGGGCACAGAAAGCAAACAATCTTGCACGAATTATCGTGGCATCAACTTGCTGCATTTTGTGGGCAATTTGGTTGCCACGAACCCTTCTCAATCGTCTCGTTAGTCAGGTTGTGGAACCCAGCGTGACGGAGAAGCATTGTAAATTCCTTTCGGGTCGCAGTATCATCGATATAGTATTTTCGGCTTGTCATTTGCAGTAGAAGTTCAGAGAGCGATACCAGTCGTTGTACTGGCATTTTGTTTTAGTTTGCACCAATGCATTTGATGCGGTGAACCGCGAGGCATTGTGGCTGGTGTTGGGTCAGATTGGCTGTCTGAGTAATTTTGTAAGTTTATTTGAATGCCTGCACAGTGATATGCGGTAGACGACGCAACTGCGTGGACAAGTCTCAGATGACTTTGCATTTGTCTCTGGTATGAAGCTCCTGTCCTGTTTACTAGGTATCTTCATGCAATGATACCTTGTGCTTTTGATGCGGTTTCTGCTTACGGTGTTCGTATGGAGCACCATATTGATGGTAGTTTGTTGAACGGTCTTCGTTTCGGTGCGGGAGCCTTGGTGTGTGCGACAACTCTCCGTGCGTTGCTGTTTGCTGATTGCTGTGCTTTGTTTGCACACAGCGTGGGTGATTTGCAGCACATGACTAGTGCTCTGGCTTCGACAGCTGCCAAATTCGGGCTCACCATCAACACATGCATATCTGTCTGTCTATTTCAGCCATCAATGGAGGTACAGTCGGCGAAGTTGCCGCAAACCAGCATTGGTGATGAAGTTTTAGAAACCACCTGCCGCTTCTACTACCTTTTGAGTAGGATGTGGACTGACCAGCAGTTTCACAGTGAGTTACGTATCCGCAACTCTAAGTAAGCGGCGGCATTCGGGAAGCGAGAGTACAGAGCATGGAGCAGCCATCAGCTTACCGTTGGCAGGGAGCTGATGGTGTACAAACCCATGGTATTGTCCGTTCTTCTATATGGCAGTGAAACGTGGACAATGTACAGCCGAGACCTGAGATATTTCGAGCGGTTTCGTCTAGAGTGTCTACGACAGATTCTGCGCATCTGTTGGTGCGCTAGAGTTGCAGACACGGTGATGTTGCACCGAAGTGGAATGTATGAAGTAGTGTGCATACTTTTGCTGAGACATTTGAGGTGGCTCGAGCAGACGCGCCGTATGGATTCAACGCGGATACCGAAGCAGCTGTCATATGGTTAGCTGAATGTGGGGATGCGGCATGCGCAGGAACCGAAGCTTTGTTAGCAGGTCATGTTCAAGGCGGACGTATCACGAATAGTAGATTCCCATGATGTCGAAGGTCTCGAGCAGAGGTGGCAGCTAATTTGCTACACCGAGCTACAACAATTAACGTAATGTGTATACATAACAATGTGACTTCGCTTCCGACGGCTTCCCTGTACACCCGTCGCGTGCCGTAGAACGACGGGTGCAAGCGATGTAGGGGCAGTGGAGGTCAGGCTGAGATCATTGTGGTTACTGCGTTCCGAAGGTGAATTGCCCTTGGAAATCGGGACAACAACTGAGCAGGCTCAATCGATTAAGACGGTATTTCTTCCCCAGGCAACCTCACAAATCGGGAAAATTATCTACAGAAGTTTGCCCTCTAAGTTTGAATAAGTCACTAAGAGTCCCATTTGGTCACGTGGTCATGTACATTTGCAATATCCCGATTTCAAGTTCGGCTTCTGCATGCAGATATATATATATATATCTGCAACGGTCTACGAATAGACGCAAAGCCATCTGAAACCATGGGGTACAGAAATAGTAAAAGAAAACACAGCACAAAACCTCAAATTCCATGGTTTCGTCAGAGGGCGAGACACTATGCGGTTGCCCAAGCCGAAGTAGGGTGTTGACTTAGGGGACACCACCCGGAGCATTTAGCTGAATTGCCTGCCCGCAAGGCAGTGGAGCGAATTCAGGGAATCGCGCCCATTGGGAGCCGGTGACTAATTGCTCAGTCCATACGCCTTTCGTTTGTTCCTTTACCAACAGGGGGCCCAATGCTCCCCAGAATTACAGCATAACTTTGCTGGAATGCAATGCTTTCCCAAGATGAAGCAAGGGTATTAGGAGAACAGCTATTAGACTTTCATTTATTGTGACCGAGCTTGATAGCTATTCTTTACTCTTCCTATTTTCTGTTTCTTGTCTGTTGTTTAAACGCTCTACTGGGTTCGCCCGATTGGTACATCCGCGTCATTGTTAATGGACGCTCCTTGTCATGCCTTTCTCAGCAGCGCTGTTTGCAGGAACATATTCTATTGGTTCTTTTCTCTTCTCATCACCGTTCTACTTGGTTATGTTAAAGGAATATTTGGTGTCAAGGGGCAGTGACTTTATTTAGTGGTGAGTCACGTCCGCCACGTCGTAGTGTTGTTAAACGGACATATATTGCTTTCTATGGGGAGACCGTTTGCCAGGCGAAATCCCACCACGTCCTGGAACACTGCCCCCGAATCATTTGCTGGAACAGGAAAATCCCGAACCACCCAGCTGGCACCACGAGGAGGTTGTTCGGCAAGCCAGCTTTACATCCCGGTGTGTTTACCTTTGGTGTGTATGTTGACAAGTGCTTACTACGCTAGTACCCATTACCTTGTCTATACTGGCTTCAGGAAACAGTTACTGGTTACTGGAGGTGATGACGTGCACGGTCCTCGTGGCCGTGTTAGACACAAACGGTGGCGATATGCACATAGATTATGTGGAGCTGACTAGGATACAGCCAGCGCCTTGAGTGCGTTTGATTCCCCCAAATACAGCATACATTTCTTTACCTGTGAAGCGGGGTGTTCGGCTCCATTGATGAATTGTGGTTCCCACCCATTTGTCTCCCGGTCTTATTCTTTCGGGTTTACACAGGATATGAATGTGTGGGTGGAACTGCGCGTGATGCAGCGCAAGTCACGCATGGTCCCTCTGTAGGCGTATGCGTTCTGTAGCTGTCCCGGTGGACGCCGCAGCGACAGGTAAATCCGAAACCGGAAACCGCCAACCAGGTGTATGTGTAAGTCACGCTGACGTATGTGTAAGTGAACTTGGCGAGTAAATTTGTTAATGTGATTCTGAATTCCTGATTTTGTTCGCTGTGCTCGCGATCGTATCAAGGGATCAAAGGAACTCTTAGAAATATGTTCTCCACGATTTTGACGTCACCACTGCCTGATCCCACTTGAGTGTTTACAAGCGAAACCTGTTAACTACTGGTCAATTGTGGTGGTCATAACGTTTTATAATCGCGGAGTATGTATGAACCAGATGTCAAGTCACATGAAACTGGAAAGGTAGACGACAATATACGGTAAGATGAAATGGCGTACCAGCGTGAATCCACATACGAACCACGGTAGAACTGTGGGTGAGAGTGAAGTTCACAGTCAGGGGTGTGGGAGGACTTGGTACTTCTAATGCACCAGAACGCCTGGCATCACATTATGTTTATGCGCCTTTGATTCCCTACCCAAAATAGCGCTATTGTGTGTGATGGTAATTTCTTGGGTATAATGCAGCATATTTCTGTTACTGCACACGTGGCGAATGTCAAATGTGCAATATACAGAGTTTCTATACAAAAATAATTTGTCTAGTTATAGACATTTCAAATCCCCGTCTGTTGTATCGTCCGTCACTAGCGGGTGATACGAAGGGGAGATAAGATCAGAGGTCTGCAGTGAATTTCTGGATGGCTTCTGCATGTGACTTTCAAATTGCGTACCGCATTTTTATAAGCCGACCCCCCTACAGACAAGAAAAAGTGTCCAAAATTCACTGGCTTATATTCAGTAATAGACTGCGGTTTAAGAGCTAACGAAACATTTTGAAAATGTCCCAGACTTTCTCATAGCTACTCCCAATCCAACGAGTCAAAACGGGATTTCCGGTGGCGCTTTCACTCTTCCGAATTCAGCACATTTGGTTAGCATGCAAAACCACCTGGGGTGAAGTGCAGCTAACACAAGAACCGACAGATCCATTACTACTTTAGCCTCTATCGATCCCCGTCTTCTTTCCGACCAAGAACGTGGCTGTATGCACTAGATTACCGCATACGGGAAGTGCATTTTTGATGAAAAACGTAAGGCGTAACGGCTAAAAAGCAAGTTATTAACTGTTTTGGTACAAACTGTATCCAAGTTGTGGTATTGAAGGCTCAAAATAACACCATTATTTTAGAGTCCCTGTATGTGTGTCTTCTTGTATAAGTTGCGTCACGCTGTCAGCTACAGTCTTTTTGCAAAGTGAAGTACGTCCATTGCATTCTTATCGCTGGTCAAAAACCCCATTAACGAAATAAATCAATGTAATCAATGCGGATATGCTGACTAATCGTTGTATATCATCAAGAAACTACATGTTTTACATACAAGAAGAGTGGAAAATGTAACTTCAGGTGTCGAAACAATGCAGCAACCAGTCAAAATGTCTGGTGAAGAAGTCAGTAGAGTGTGCGTTCCTTTTGAAAACATTTCATTTTTTTCACCATTCGATAGCTTCACAAATTTTCCAAAGTGTTTCAGCGCTTTGCATCAACTTTTCTGTCTCGTCACTACTCAGCTCTAGCGGAACGATATGTGTTATCCCGTTCGCTCCAACTAGACATGGGAGACTTAAATAGACATCAGTTTCCACCCCGTAAAGACCCTGAAATGGAAGACATACCGCCAACTGCAAGATAAGACAGACAAAGGTTAAATTCGCAAAACTGGGTGCGAGTAAGTTAGTGGCGGTTGACAGTAATTATGCGAATCGGTCAAACACCCATACGTCTTACTTTGATAGATGTGGATAGAGGGTATATGGTGTGCGTGTCATTGAGTATGGCGTTCGATAAAGCATAACAGGTTAATCCGATCGCCCATGATGTTGAACCTTTTCTCTTGATTATATCGTAGGCACTGGAGATGGAAGAAAGCAAATGCTCTGTAAGAATGCATATAGCTTACTACTGTTTCATTTATTCAATGCTTTTACAAACAGATTGTAGGTCTGGCTATGTTTTATTGATAAAATTGCAAATCTGAAGCCATTAGCGGCAAGAAATGTAGTGTTGCGCTCGCTACATATAGACCATTTTGTATGGATCTATTTGCAGTCTTGCTAATGCAATTCAAAGGAAACCCTTGCTCAAAAGCATTACCTTAAAGAGAGCAGTATTCTGATTAGCAGCAACGAAGCACTAGCAAATTGCAATTACCGTTGAGTACATAGAAAGTAGAGGTCTCACCTGTTGACTACATTTTGATGAATCGCCTGGAAATTCTCAGGATCACACGGTTTGCCAATATCAGGGTTGACTGACGACAGCGAAACTCCGGCAACGTTTGCCTTACTCCACACAGGCACTTGACAGAACAAAGAAACCCAGCATAAAAGTGGTGCAGGATTGCATAAATACGGTTTTTCTACTTTAGAAAGATAACAGTATTTGTGTTTTGCGAGAGCTGTGTGGAGAACTGAACTTGGTTGCATAAATAAAAGATTACTCTGTACAAATTCTTGTTATGCACTTTCCTATGTATTGCGGACTTATGGCTGCTTTTATTCACTGGTTCTCATTAGTTAAGCACCAATCATTTATCATAACATCCTGGAAGCTGAATACACAGTACTCTTCATGTATTATACCGGCTACAATGTCATAGATCAAGTTACCTAGTCAGCGAAATTCACCACGCTCAACTTGTAAGTCTTCGAATTTAAGGCACACTGAACGTGGAACATAAAGTTCCTGTGTTCACCAAAACTTCAGATTAGCAACCAAACTACACTCTCTTGCAGAATTTGGAGAAACCAGCTCCTAAACTCTCCACTTCGGGTGCGGTCGCAGTAATTAAAATGGCATAGGTTTGCTTCAAAGCAAGCGTTGACCTCAACCGAAGGTGCTTGTCGCAATTCAGACACAAGTGGTACCCCAAAACCTAACAATAATAAATTGGCACCAAGAAATGCAATGATTCTATTATTAAACAGCTGTTAAGTGGCATAGGAAATTTAAAAAATATATAGTCCTGTAAAGCTGATGACCGTCGTCGACGGACATCAATGACAGTGACCCAAGAACTCATTATAATCATCATCCAGGTTAGCAAGAGGTAGAAAAGCCCTAAACCATCGTGCCGCAATATATAAGAAAAAATATATATATACACATGTGACAAAGGTACGCCGGTTGTAGCAACATTAACAGATAGTGTCGTTCCGGAGAATTAGCAGCCGGATATTGCGCCGCAAAAGGAAAGAATTAACTTATGCTTAAGAAAGGAAATCCAGGTTAGGGGTGAGAATAAACGGGAGAAGAGTGGTCGAAGGAAAGGTTGGTAAAGCTAACAATGTCATCAAGCTGGATGGAAGAAAAGTTGAAACATTAGCTCAGTCCATGGGTATCTTAACTGGCAACATACATTCTAATTTAACGGAAATTTATGTCAAGTATTGTCAGTGTGTGATGGGAACCACAAATGTTAATATTCCAGCAGATGGCATATGGTGTTCAGAACTGCCAAAATAATGAGACCCTCAAAGATGGACTTGGAGTATCCGCTGGTGGTTGGGTTGCTACAAGCAACCTCTTTTGAGACCTCGGTTCACTTAAGCCACTGAGTTCCAGCCCAACTCAGGCTATCTCCAACTGATGAGTCCCAACCAGGATGAAACTGCGGTCTTGGGGTGCCAGTGTTGGGATGAGCAACACTATAATGGTTCCATCTAATGGGACCCTCATTCAAAAGGATCCGATAAACTTCTGTCTCTCATGTTGACTCTGAATGACATTTGATCCATCGGTTGGATGTGAAGCCAAAAGGCAAAGCGTGCTGCCGAAACACACAATTTCACTACCACCCAAAATATCCCGCTCGACACTCTTGGTTGGAAAGCTCATAGCCTCTATATTCTGAGATGCTGAAGCAACAAATTCGTTTGAGTCTTCTAATACAGGTGCTATGGTAACTGGTAAGCATAATGCAGGCTTAAATCAAAAGGAAAACTGTGAAGAAATTTCTTTTCGATAAACCTCATCAGATAATTACTTTTAGGAAATTCATGATCATTAGAATAGAAGCTATTACTAGCGATGTGGCGATCCGTCGTGTATGCGGCGCCTGGAGGAATGGTGGCATTGGATGTCAATTTGAACCCACCACCACCGGTAACTATGCTTGAAGTCAGCTGACTAGGCTAGGGCCACGGTATTTTTAAAGTTTGCTCAAGTACATGCTGCTTACACGGTTCCGGCTTGAGTCACTTGATCGCAGTGGCTTCTGCTGTGGTCAGTAGGCGCTTTCTGATGCCACATACATTATTCTGAAAGCATCTTTCGTTTGTATGTCATGTCCACTATCTACTAGATGTTTTAGCAAGGAGCTTTGGACATTCCCGGAGGTACCACGTTGTAATGAGGCGAGAGAGCTTTCGGCCGTTTTTACACCCGTCTGGTCACACAGGCGCAAGTGAACTGATGTAATACAAATGATTCAAAATACGTTGGAATTCTGTCTTTTATGTGGTGGGTGATGAGCGGAACGGTTTCGATGTGGATGCAGACTCTAGCAGCCAGGTACATGTGCTTCAACGCTGAAGTCGGCATTTTACTTATGAGCTCGAAATACATGTCCCCTTTGGAATGTACTTTACAAAAAAGATCCGTTCTCCTCACGATGATTTGTGCCTCAGACTCTGGCCGGAGTTGGGGAACGCATTTTGATGAAAGCAATTGGGTACCCGTTGCTTTCCAGTGCATGGAGTATGAAATCCTTTTACGCTTCCAGCGTCTCTGGACTGCAAATCCTTGTATCTCGGTAGCGCAGCCAATGTACCAAGTTTCGCTTGTAGTTTATTGCTATGAAACTGTGGAACTGCCTGTATTGACCTACCCAGGGCCTCTTTCGGAAAACTGTTCATTCAAGCGACCCGTCCTCTAGTCGTCGAAGCAAAACATCCAAGAAAAGCAGCTTACGCTCCTCCTCAAGCTCACTGGTGAAGTTCAAAGACGGGTGGGCGTTGTTACATTGATCCAACAGCAACTTCTGAGAGCCATCAAGGCTTAGATGCGAAGCAATTAAGAACACGCGTTTTGCTTCCTTAAAGAGGCGCTCTCGTGCACACCTCGCGGGTTGCTACGCAGGCAATTCATGAATCCTGGTTCATATCGTTTGTAAATCCACTCCCTTTTCTAGATCTATCTTCCAAAGGCAAGTATTAGTATCTTCGACTCAGTGGTCATACTGGTGGAAGTAATTTCTGCTGCTGCTATAGAATTGTGGCTACAGGAGCATGCTTCGAGATTCTACAGTGTGGGTAATATGTCATTGAAACACCGATAGACAAAATGCTCTGCGGTCGAAGGATTTTAGTTTAAAGATAATCGAGTTGACATTATTACACGACTTGATATTAATGTCAGTCTGCCAACTTATTTGACTGGATTCATAACTGGCAAGGAGCTCCAATGTGTTGGCTTAATCGTCGTTATCAAAATGGTAAACTAGTATAGTCAATAGTAACAGTTAGATAAATAACTTGATTTAAGCTAGCATAAGTTGAGGCAAATTAGTTTGCTTACGACTGCATAGAGTCACCAAATTTGAGTTGTGATAGATAGTAGGCTCATTGCATGGAAAATGTTTGGATTAACATTTTAATTGGCAAACATGACATTAACAACGTGTCTCAAATATTCATCTTACTTCTACATGGTGCACACTAAGTAACTTACCACTACTATCTCCGTGCTCTCCAATGATAAGTGCATGCACAGTGGTCGCTGACAGACCAAGCAGATCGCCGAGCATTGTTCGGAATCGGGCAGAATCCAACATCGTTCCTGTGCCCAGGACTCGGTTGGCTGGAAATCCACTGATCTTTGCTGCGACGTACGTCAAAACATCCACTGTCCAAACAAACCAGCACATATTTTGTAAGCACGTGTCATTCATTCCAGACAAATTTGACCATGTTTGTCAATGCTTTCAGGGAAATCGAAGAGGCCGGATGACTAATGAAGCATGATTAATCAATGTTGAATGATTTACGATGTCCGAATACCATCTTCCCTTACGCTTAACCCGCTTTCCGTCATGGATCCTATACGAGGTTGTTCCTGCATACTACGAGGCACAAGTTGAATATATTTGACCATATATCCGGCCTCTTGTTTTACCTTTCTTTTCACCCGTTATTTCAAACGATGGCGGCAAACTTTAGGATAATGAACTGGATCAGAGTGATACAAGTAGCATATCCCAGGTACTCCAGATAATGATGTCCCATGCGTAAACAAGTGAGGTGCCTATATATTCGTTATGAGCGGGCTGTCATGCACACACTGCAAAAAGTAGCTTCTCGCATAGTAAGGATAGTTCGCCAACTTGTTATATACAAAATCCGTTCAACGCTGTTGATCTAATATACAACACTTTTCAAACGTTACTCTTGCATTCGTTATGCAACTCTTTATATTGCACAATAAAAATATCTTGGGCCCCAGGCAAATTGGGCAGAGTAGTCGGGCAAATGTAGCACCAAAATGCTCGGTTTCATATTCTAGCCACTGGTACGTCCGTTGGCCACTCAAAACACTCGTGTTTGTGGAACTGCACTTTTCACCTTACCTGCATGGCAATGCTTAACCATACGACACGTGCTATACAGCAGTGATATACACGCCACGTCAGAACAGCATTTTGACCTCTGTACATTACCACGCCGGCGTCGAAGCATATGACACTTGGGAATGCACTATAGCTCCCATTCACACTGATAAACCTGTGGCATCGAGACGCACAACACAGCACTAGAACGACCGGACAACGGACGTATGCGCTTTCCTCCTCGTGATCAGTGCCCGACGCATCATCGCAACGCACTGCAACCGGTGACTCACAACCATCAAACAAGCACACGCGATAAGTCTCTCATTTATGTATCATTATTGTCTGTACCTTGTTTAGCCTTCTACCTTTGTAAGCATTCACGAGATAAGCAGCATTAATAGTCACCAGACAAAGTCTTGCAGAACCTCAGACTTTGTCTTGCACCTAGAGCTGTCTACCTGCAACTGCTGTTACTCGATTATCTGAGAAGATAGATCCGGACTAAAGCATCTGCAGTCCATTGATCAAGTTTACCGCTAACAAGCAAATGAAAGCTGCATGGCTGCTTGTGTTGATTTGCTGTGTAATGATCAGCGGTAGAAGCAATAGTTGCTTTACTGCTGAATTTGAATGCCACGCAACACCCCAACACGCAATGTAGTGTTGCAAGTTTCCAAAGTATTCGTAATAGCTATGACACAACCATTTATCACGACTGACAACTTCCATCACCTTGTTCGCATGCCCTCGTGACTGCAGATATTTAGGTGACGTAGGCGCCTACAGCGCAATGAGAGGCCAACGTTGCATAATCCAAACGCCCGTATCAACTATTGACTGAAAACACATGTTGCAAATATGAGATTGGAAACCCAGGTAGCTTCACAGCACTGCAATATTACGTGCCCTCTCTATGGATTCCGTTGTTGACAATCCACATGGCAAGGACACTAATTTCTAGTCTCCATTTTGGATGTGCAGAATGGAAACTAATGCGAGTTTGTAGTGTCTCGATTTAATTTTGTACTTACTAAATAATGAACAAAATAAATAAATAACTCAAGCGCGTTTCAGTCAAATTTTTGTTACACGGAGTGAATAACGGTTAATAGACGCTTATTTTTATCTTATCTAGTGGCTTTTTACCCAAAAGTTAGCAATGTAACGGTGCAGCGTTTACGAAGGCCAAACAAGTTAACATATGTGTCAAGAAAAAAAATCCAGTTAAAAAATGGAACGAACTGCGCCAATTATGTCACTAATTAGCCCGTCAAATCGATTTCTAAAAGCTTCTCCCTTGCAAAGATACCGAACTTTTGCATTAGAGCTGGAAGATGCACCCAAATATCAGTTATTCATAGCTCGAAGCAGCGTAGATAGAATGGTAGCTCATGCATATTGCACAACTATTTACCTAGCTTTGAACATTTTATTCAGCAGTACGAACTTATAGTATACTGTTCCGACTTGAGGCGAGGTTAAAAATGATGAGTAGAACTTCTCCCACCTGAACATTTTACTTCCTTTCGAAATTCCATCACATACCGGATAGCTTCACTAAATCCCCAAGTGCCACTGTTCCGCTAAACCAGATTTGTTCTGTTTGCTACAAATTCTTGCCTGTCTCCTTAAGAACTATAGGTTTGTGCGCGTAATACTTAGGTTTTAGCGTTGCGTGTTTTCGATTCTTTCCTCACTTGTTGTATTGCTTTAAATACACAGAATTCTTCAGCGTATCTTCACCTACAGTACTTTAACCTTGCTTCACTGGGGATCAAGTGTCGCCATTAAAATAGCCAAGCAGCCCACAGGATATGACCATTATAACCTATTAAACGGAGTCTTTGCAAACTCAGATCACATAGAATGTGCCAAGTAAGATGCAGTAAACTAATGGAAGTGTGAATTTGTCAACGGTACAAAGCGTAAGATTAAAAAGTCCAGCAAATGTAAATGGCAAACCCAAAAATAAATGTAGCAAAAGTGCGTTCCCATGGCTTCGCGGTAAGTTTGACACGTGCACAGTTTGGTCATGTTACCTCATGACCCAGTAATTTAGTTTACTACGTGCATCATCAAACCGAACTTGGAGTTCTATTCATGTACGTAGGTAAAGAACCGGTATCGATAGCCTGTCAGAGAGGTTTCGATACTAAGTCTTAATGATCGACTGTATGCGCACTTGGGATACTTGAGGATTCGGTCCACCAATAGAACATCATACCGCAGACACCGATAATGCTCACTGAAAACGCTAAGACTTTAATCCAGGTTCGTAAAGAAAACATTATATCAGTTAACAAGTTAAGTCACTCTTGTTTAGGTACTCTTAAGAACTCCCAGATCTTGCTTTCCCATTTGTCAGGGCGGTCAGTTTTTCTTCTAGCTGGGCATTTAACCTTCAAACGTTTCGTTAGGAGTGTAGGCAACATCATCAGTGCTTATTTCAGGGCCACTTCCAGATCCACTTGTGCCAGATCTGAATGGCTTATGTCACATAAGACCTCACCTAAGCTTTGAACTGTAGGGGTAGACCGGCCAAACATCTTCAGCACGGGCATGGTCAGCTTTTCATAGCCTTCAAAACGTCTTAAGCAACTGAGATGCACCTTATATGAAGTACGCGCTACAAAGTGTCCGCTGCTGCCTGATACTCGTAGGTGCTCTGGAGAGGGGTATGCTCAACACCTTTCAGTTGACGGCTTTAAACTAAAGGTAGTTCTGCTCTGATCATTCGTAAGCCATTTCGGCGTCGTCTGGCAAGGACATATGGCCGTCTACCATCTTAATTACACGACAGCTCTTGAGACAATCCAAGAAAAATTGAAAGTTTATGATGATCGCTCTTGCGAGGTCATTTAAAACCAACAGGGATAGGCGTAACCTTAGTGTTGAGACTTGTGGAATGCTTCAACGCACTTTCATTGGGTGGAACATTACGCACGGAGTTTCACAATTAGGTGACGTTGTGGAGGGATTGCGCTTATCAAGCCAAAGATACGATCACCAAATGTATATCTCTGAAGTAGGTGAAGAGAAATGTTGCGATTCAGAAGGTCAAAAGCCTTCGAAGAAACAAGATGTCCCAGCATCAGATCTTTTGCCAGCATCCACAGATTCCGTCCAACTGCCACTGATTAACGGAAGGTTCATATCGCACAAGTGGCATTAGCACGAGTATTTTGAATTGTTCAAAATACTCCATGTGACTTTTGCCATGGCTGCTTTCATTACTTCATACAACACCGAAAGAATGATTATGGGGCGGCAGTACTCTAGTTCCCACGAATGCCCACCTTAGAAAAGGAAGTGACTATCGGAGCTTCCACATTGTTGAAGCCTGCATGCGTTGACATCGAAATGGAAAAAGCGAATGGATGCCTCAGCCAAGGTTCTTTCAGCCTCCTTTAATGACTTTGATGATACGTTGTCGGCATCAGGATGACTGCGCTCGCACAATGACGTCAGTCGCCTCAGCACATCCGCAGCAGTAAATTTGGTGTGGCAAAGTTTTGTTGGTGGCCTTGTCCGTGTGAGAACGACATGGGATGGTGAGATACCCTGGCGATTGAAAACAAAACGTTGTCTAACAGCGTTGACTGCTTACTGCATTGTTCGTGCTTGCCCCCAAGGGGTAGTCCGAGCAAACGTCTCACTGAAATATGTGGAGTTCGTTTACATGTCTATAAAGTAACGTTGAGACGGAGCAGAACATATGCATTAAATCATGGCGTTTCTATTGATCCTCACTAACCAGGTTGGCAAACTAGTTTGGTTAGCTTATACAAGTTTTCTGGTTTTGGGCAATTAGAATGGTGTTGTACGCTTGCCATGATTAATCTCTCTAGGCCCTCAGCTTACTGCAGGTCACTACTCATGAAACATCTACATTTTTGAGCGTGCCACTAACCTGCTGAACTGGTTGACGGAATTATCACAACGAAATCAGTGGGTTGATTAGATAGGAATCAGCACCGCTGGCGCTGCTAACATCGGTTACGATGCTATGATGCATTACAATACGGGACCCTTCAATGTCCACTGAATGTTCGGCGTACCAGACGAAGTGAAACGTTGGTGCTGCATTTCCGCCACCGCAAAACTTGCTGATTATGGCAACATGGATCACCACGTCCTAGTTCTGAGTATCATAGGGGAAGTACCGTGAGTATCAGGTGGGAGGCCAACGTCTAGTTCTTACAGTTCTGATAAGGCTTTCATCCCAACAGTTCACAAGCTACATAGCGGAGCCTAGTCCGGAAAAGCGCCAGACGCGTTTCGCCCTATTGGGGCTCGTCAGTGGCGCGCATTCCCTCGGTCTTCTAAGGAGGATCGAACCCATGACCACTAGAGGCAGATGCCAACTAGCCAGCAGCTTAAGCCACTGAGCCATGGGGGACGATGGCTGGGCTACATAATTTGCAGACTAGCTGGGATATAGTACCACATTACAGTTCTGTTTTAAATTGTTTACTGATGGAACCCAGGACCTTTACGGCATGCGAACTCAAGTCTTCGACATGGAGAATGTAACTGTAAAGCTATACTAGGATAAACTTACTTAGAAGAGGCCAAATGATTGTACATTTCTAGAGTGGACCATATGTGGTGGCAAATCCACATGCCACCACCAATAAGCTGGAGTCTTTGGAATGTACGTCGGCCTAGTCATTTTACAATGTGTAGACAAGCGGTTGAGATTTACAGAAAATTACCGGGAGCAGATATGTTGTTTTCCAGTTTGGTATAACAGTGAACATTTAAAAGCCACTTGACTAAACACTAAGCCCAATTCAGTGAATGCTTCATTAAATAAAGACGATTGGATTTCCTTCTATTTAGATAAGCGAAGAGCATTAGATGAGTGGACGGTGTGTGACAAACTAAGATGAGTGAGCTGCCAATTAGCCCAAGTTTGTTGGCATGTTTAAATGCGTCCCTGAAAAAAACGATGATTAAAATTAAGCGCAAAACCCGATGTTGCTGGGTTTTGCGACGAAACATGGTATATATATATATATATATATATATATATATATTAGCAAAAGTTCCTAAAATAGACATCGAGCCATTCAAAACAATGGAATTTTGGTTAAGCGGACAGCAACTTGTACAAAACATGTAAAAGGAATTGATATTGAGTAAAAACACGGAACAACAAGCTTTCGTCTTTTTACGCACACCATTTGGTACTATTTTGCGGCTTTTAAGTTAGTGCTTTTGTAAACATGTGTTCAGGCATTTGTGTACAATGCTTCCACTGCGACCGGTTTTTCGCCATTGCTTCTAGCGTTGGGAACCACCAGCATTCTTCATCTTTGGCCCCCAGCCGGGAAGTCGAACGGTACCAGCGATGGCCATGCAAGATATCAATGCTTACATGTATTGTCGCCAGCTGGACGGTTGACCTCCATGCGAGTTTATCCAAAGCAACCGTGCGTGCTCAAACAAGGCGCTACATGCTAAATGCTCGTTAGGCATGCGGAGGATGTGGCCAAACGATCACAATTGATGCAGCCGGATGATATCACAAAGCGGAACATCCGCCTTGCCCAAGACGGGTCGCCTAACGTTATCACTCAGCACTCGGTGTTGCCAACGCACATGGGCAATCCTCCGCAAATATCTAATGTCAAAGATTGCAAGATTACGCATATGTTCCCCACAGAGTGGTCAGGATACACATCTGTACAGCCATAACGGTCGTACACAGGCTTTGTACTGAAGTTCGTCAATCTATAGTTGTTTAATAGATCGTAAATGGCATCTGGAATGAGGCCACTGCAGTACGACTTTTTATTATAATAATAGTTTCTTTTCTTAGTTCACCACGTGATGAGGCAGGATTGCCAGAAAACGTAAGTATCAAAGCATTTGTTTTGCGCATGATAAACCAACTTCAGAAGTAATTACTACAAGCGCAGAGCTAATGACAAGGTGTAACACTTGATTAACAAACTCAAAACTCACCAGGATTACTCACAATCACGAGGATGCAGTTGGGACTGTACTTAACAATTTGAGGTATTATGCCTAAAAGGGGGTGAACGGTAAGCCTCAACATAGTTTCATGGACGTGACTACCTCTGAATAAATTTGAATCAAAGCGAAAGCATTTTGTTTTTATGCTATTAAATAGTATGTCGTTTGGGGGAATTAGTGGGACATATAGGACGCATCTTTGTTAACTGTGCTGCGCTGGCATTGCAGAGAGTGAAGCAGGAGTATACTTTAAAGCACTTTAAAACCAACGCTTATCACCATGCTTGTTAGAACACTTTGGGTCACCAATGAATTGGAAGCTGATGTCAAACGACTCAGGAGTGCATGGATGGATGCAATTCAGCTTGCAGCATGTGTTGCTCTTTCTTGTGTTGGCATTCTGACAGATTATCTTAAAAAGCGTAGGAAAAGTTAACTTTTCCATTATAGTATATCAAGGGTAAAATAATGATGGAAACTACTGACAACTGTAGTAAATCATATGAAGTCATGCTGCTCAGTGGAAGACAACAGGATATCATAAACCTAGCTCAAACAAACATTCCTTGTATTAGTGGAAAACTGACGTCCGCTCAACATTTGGAGGAGGAAATATTTTAGGGGGTTGGCCGGAAATAATGAATGAATGATGATAAGTTCTAACGTAGTTTTGTAGGTCTGACTCCATAACATCAAGCTCACAGGCTGGCCACGGACTTGTGAAGCAATTTACCATTGTAAATAGATAACTGGCAGTTTGCATATAGTATGATAACCACATTTTACGCCATGGTAAACATACCCCAACTATTTTCAGATATATACTGTTTGGGTAACTTATCCACGGAACCAGCTTACCTTTGAAAATCTCTACATTTCTTTGAACGAGATTGAGCCTTGATTCACCTACTGCCTGTCTAGCACCAGCGGTCACTATGACAATATCTGATCCGGCGGAAACGGAGTAATCTGTTCGGGTACTAATATGTGCATTTCATCCAACTTACCTGAACCACCAATAACTTCACAATGCCGCACAAACTGCTTTCCGTGCTTCAAATCCATTACTTCACCGATTACTTTATCCGTAAGTACGTCAACTAACGCGATTGTGTTGGCGATGCCCTGCGAAAATTGTTTGCCTTCTGGTTGTATGCTCTGTCAACTTACTCCGACCATTATGGCATATGCCGCGGCCATACCAACACCACCTACTCCAACAACGGTGATTTTGCGTTGTGCTTTCGCCACGCACTCAGTGCCCTCAATTGGCAGTAGGATACGTTGCATTGTATTTGTTTTCCGTTGACTAAAAGTGCAGTAAAAAGGATTTTCTTATTATCTGAAAAGTTCCAAATCGAAAAATAAATCCTAAGTCCCTCTCTAAATTCTAAATGCGCATAACTACTGCACTCTTAGAGATTTGCTGAAAATCGCGAGCATTTGCACATTCGTATAGTTTACGTTTCCTTAAAGAGTAAGTGAGAAACTTTGTTTGCAGCACGATTTCGCGCGTAACTGGAATCTGGTACAGATAGTGAAGCTTTTGGCAATGAGTCTTGCATTAGACTGCTTTTAGCTATAAGGCTGTTGAACTTTTCTTTGCCTGGAGCACAACTGTAAATCTGATCACAACTGCAGTTCCCATAGGGAGTAGTGTGGAGTTAGGTTTCACCAGCGTTAAGAAGGTAGGTTGTTTACTGTTTTGGGATGCTAAATGCAAGTTCATCTTCTTAGTCGGTATTTAGTAGATGTGAGTAATTATCTGTTACGGCTCACTACACCTCGGAAAAGCTATAGTGACAAGCAACGTCAACGAAAAAGCATTATGAATAGGCACGTTGTCTAGTAACCAGTTATATATCACCGAACCACCCTCTGAGCATATTGACCTTGAATGCGGGAACAGCGGAACAGGTGAACTGGAGTACCTGTACCCATATACATGCTTATCATGTTAACTTAGTATCCGTGTGTCTGGTTAAATTATGACCTTGGAATGCATATATTAGAACGTAAGTTTGGTTGAATTTAAACTCCATATATCACCTTATGCGAATGATGGCGGAGTGTATCGTAATAAACAACAGAGTAACTTGACCGAGAAAGGGGCTTTACTAGGTTACCAAGTCAGTATATACAGTAACGGTTAGCTCGAAGTAGACATGACAGCACACCAAGCTTTACTACAAGCATGTTACCGGCAGCATAAAATCACCTCGAACAAATCCTATCCCCTGTTCCGTCTCGGTTGACAATTGAACGGTTGGGATTTCTGCCATCCAGCAGCCGTAAGGTGCTAACTAGTAGTAAATATGTGGTTTAACTTTTGTGCCCAAGATCAGCTAAGCGAGTAATGACATCGCGCCAATTCGTGTTTTAAGCTACAACATGCACAAAATTCCAGTGTAAATCACTTAATTTTACTAGTTTTAACAAGTGGCAAAATTAAAAACCAAAATCTGGAACGGCATTTACAGTCCACAGTATTTTACTACATGTGCCAATTACGCTTTAGTGCGTAACAAAATTTGTCATATACGTAAACACGTAGAACTCTGCTAATATGATACTAAAAGGTTGGACGAATTAAGGCTATCCACTTTAGTTGCAGTCGGTGTAAGACATGTTGTATACCAAATGTGTAGCGATGCATGCATTATTTGGCTCAGTAAGTGATCAGCCATGTGAAGCTGCGGTGTGTACTGTAGCCACCAGTGTTACAGGTACATTTCGTACCGAGATACCAAGTGTGTTCATTAATATCATACTCTCAGATGGTTTCTTGCTCTTTATGTAAACTCCTCGAGTTACCCTTCTGTTGCAGATAATTTATCTATT